CTCTGTGAGGATCTGTGAGTGTCTGTACGTCTCTGTGAGTCTCTGTGAGTCAATGTGAGTCTCTGTGAGTGTCTGTGCGTCTCTGTGAGTCTCTGTGAGTGTCTGTGCGTCTCTGTGTCTGTGAGTCTCTGTGAGTCAGTGTGAGTCCCTGTGCGTCTCTGTGAGTCCCTGTAAGTCTCTGTGAGTGTCTGTGCGTCTCTGTGAGTCTGTGAGTCTCTGTGAGTCAATGTGAGTCTCTGTGAGTCCCTGTGAGTCTCTGTGAGTCCCTGTAAGTCTCTGTGAGTCTCTGTGAGTGTCTGTGAGTCTCTGAGTGTCTGTGAGTCCCTGTGAGTCTCTGTGAGTGTCTGTGCGTCTCCATACATTTGGGTAATCGCGGAGTCACCTGAATGTGTGAACGTGCTGCTCGTTACATCGCCGATCAGTGCCCACACGCGCGGTACGAATGGAGTATCCACGTGGTTTCCCCGTTTGCCATGGAAGGGCTTTCCCAACGAAAACTTTTTCAATTCCATACGAAAGAAAGAAACAAAATTCCAACACGGGCATGACGTCGCTCAGCCACCAATAATCCTGGTTAATCAATACAAATAGTACCCAACGGGGTGGCCGATTGTTCAATAAACGCAAATTGAGGTGACAGACAAATCAAGGTCAGGTGGGGGGGGGTGGGGATCCTGCGGATCTCGATGAGACTGGCTGCTGCTGCTGACTCAGCGGGTGGCGTGTCGGTGATGCAGGGCAGGACCCGGGGCAGTGTGGGCCCGGCGCGGGGAGGGGCTGGGGTGAGTCACCCGCGCGGGCGGTGAAGCCGCGAGCACGGCCCGGGCTGCTCACCTGGCCCAGGTGCGCGCCTCTGCGTGCAGCTCCCCCCGCCGGGTTCCCGAGTGCCCGGCTGCTGTCGCAGCCGCCACAGAGTTTGGTCTCGGCCTTGTGTGGGGGTTCGAGTCGCCCTGCGTCTAGCGTCGGCAGCGGGTACCACACCGCGTGGCCGGGGCGTCGTCGTGGTGAGCGGGGTGAGTGGGGTGAGCGGGGTGAGCGGGGTGAGCGGGGGTGAACGGGGTGAGCGAGGGTGAGCGGGGTGAGCGAGGGTGAGCGAGGGTGAACGAGGGTGAGTGGGGTGAGTGGGGTGAGCGAGGGTGAGTGGGGTGAGCGAGGTGAGTGAGGGTGAGTGAGGTGAGCGGGGGTGAGCGAGGTGAGCGAGGGTGAGTGAGGTGAGCGGGGTGAGCGAGGGTGAACGGGGTGAGCGAGGGTGAACGAGGTGAGCGAGGTGAGTGGGGTGAGCGAGGGTGAACGAGGTGAGCGGGGTGAGTGGGGTGAGCGAGGGTGAGTGGGGTGAGCGAGGTGAGTGAAGGTGAGTGAGGTGAGCGGGGGTGAGCGAGGTGAGCGAGGGTGAGTGAGGTGAGCGGGGGTGAGCGAGGGTGTGACGGCTGCGGGGTCGTGCCGCGATTTGAAGGGGAGGGTTGTACAGTGTCTGTCAGACGTCGCTTCGTGCGTTGTTGTAGTTACATTGTTGGACATTCTCCGTGTCTCTCTGTTGTTGTGTCCGTCTGTGGTATCATGTCTCTCACCTGTTCATGTCTCTCATGTCCACCGCTCACTTGTAAAATGTAAATATCCATTTAGCGCTCATAAATCTCCGTGTCATATCGGTCTTGATGGAACTCGCCTTCCTTTCCCTGAGCCTCATCACATATCGTGTCTCTCCGTCTTCTCTATCTCTGTAAGCGCTTGAACACGGGTTTAGAGCCTCTTGATTTCCTGTGGAGCGAGCGTTACGTGTTGGTTGTTGGTTGTAGTTGTGATTTGCATGTAAGAGTGGGGTTGGTTGAACAACCACAAGAATATTTTACTTTGTCGAGTGTAACATATGCGATCAAATTAAGTTAAGAAAGCATTGTTGCCGTTCTGGCTGCATGCTTGCAGTTCCCTGTCCTCAAGTTTCCCTCCCTCGCACCCTAGGCTCACATTCAGCACTCTTCTATCCATCTGCTGATCACCGGTTTAACAATTCCTTTGTCGGCTGCCTGTCTCCTTCCCCTCCATTCCGTCTCTTGTCTCTCCGCCTTGTAAACGCTTCGAGATCGAGGGAAATTGCACAACTAAAAGAGAGGAGGTGTTTGACTGTGGTGAACGAAACGCACGAATACTAAAAACGCGGTGCAAATATAATGGCAAGCAAGAGAGAGGCACCGGACAAGTTATGTCCAGGTGCAAGGAAGCTCGGTGTTTTTGTGCTTGGTAAGGAACAAATGTCGATGAGTGATGGGAGGGGACCGGGTGATGATGGGGAGCGACTCGTCGCTGATATTAGACATCTCGGCAGGCAGCAGGGATCCCATATTAACACTCTGTATGCAACGTGTAATCAGATCACCCGGTGTGCACCTGCTTGATTACTTTTCTGATTACTTGCATTCCAAACAATTACTTACATTCCAAACAATTACTTAAAACTAATTATTTAAATGTTGTAAATTATCGTACGGACCGTAGCAGCCAGTGCACCCGGATGACGCCACTACAGAGCCTGCAAGCATGCACAGTGCCAGTATGTACCGATATCGTGGAATCAACTCATAGATTATCACAACCCTTTGTCAATCCACTGCTGGATGAAGGCCTCCTCGGTCACGTGGGTTTGTGTAAGTATGCTCCACAGTGGTCAGTGTGGGGTTGTGAAGGTTGTGAAGGTGGCGAGTGGGTGGAGTGGGGTTGTTCACCACGACCACATCCACTTGTCACTTGGCACTGACGGTAGCCGTGCGGCTCATGAATGTCCGCGCAAAGAAAACGATCACGAAGTTGTCCCGCGATCCGGTTACGTTTCTTTGAATCGGCCGGCCGTGGCGCGATGATGCCCGATGGTGGCCAACGTGAAACCTAGGGGTTTAAACTCTGACTGAAGATATTCCGGGAGATGGATTTTTATTCATTGATGTACCGTCTTGAAAATATCCTATTATTAAAATCTCCCGGATCGCTTTCAGTCGCCACCGGGAGATCGATGTTGATTCCGGTAGAGACCTTCGGATCAATCCGGGAATAACCCGAGACAATCCGGTACAAGGGTTGGCAACCCCCGGTGCTGGCGATTGTACAGTGGCTGCCTGTGCAGCGGATTTGACAATGAGTGTTGGGCAGGGCTGTGCCGTGTTACAGTAAACCTGCCCTCTGCACAGAACGAGGAGGAAGCAGGGCTATTGCCGGATCAGCTGTTGAGCAACCGCGGCCGGCGTGTGAATGGAGGCTGTTAAAGAAAAACCCGTTCGCACACCGGAGTATATGAAACGACACGTGTAAGGTGTGCGTCGTTGTTGTACTACTCATGCGAAGTGTACAACTCAAGAGTGACTGCTGCTTGTGAGTGATTGGGTGTCCAGAGTACTGTGGCAGTACGTGTGTGCTGTGTGTACGGCGAACTTCTTTAGCACCGTGCGTAGAGCCAACCACCCGGGCTGATGGGAGGTGCGGTAACGTGGCGCTCACGTGTTTGAGTCTGGTTTGGTGTAAGCCGGATAAAGAGAGGGATAATGGTTTCATTGTGTGTGACTCCGAGGCTGGGTTGGTGAATTACACCGCAGCGATTGTGTATTGCGAGGGTTACGGTACAGCAAGTGGGTTTGGGAGCATGTTTGTTTATTTCAGGTGCTCCGGTTTCTTCCCGTATGCAAAAAAAATTAGAATTGAAAACGAATTGGTCAAACATCCCAGAAAAAAAGGGCCCTCGTGAAAGAAAGAGGTAGTGAACACTCAATAAAGTGCTTTGCTCTTTGACAATAACATCTGATAACCCAGTAGCAGCGTTTGTTTAAGAAGGCAGGATGTCAAAACCGGTCCTGAGTTAGCTTGCGTAAACAAATACCGGAAAGCCAGTTGAATATGGACTTAGATATTTAATATAATTTTGAGACTCACAGAGACTTCTGCTTGTATCTGCGTGGGGCGCAGTGGTAGCCTCTTCTGGATAAATAAAGGGGATTTGTTTATTTACGGAGTAATTATGATACACTTCAATTAAGCTGCGTAGATTTAAACGGTGGGAGTCCGGTGACAATCATCTTCCGTCGTATTTTGCAAAGGCAAACGGAGCGCTGTCCTCGCAGAGGCTTAGAGGCGGTTGTTGTCTTTTTATTTTGCTCTTCACCAACAGATGGGTAACTTTGAAGTTGAGGTTCCGGGGATCCTGAAACTAAACGGCAGTGAAGCTGCTGCTGCTGCTGCTGATCCCGTGTCGCCACTTTTTCAGTCGGGGTGTAAAGTCCACTGCGCCGGTGGCCACGAGCGGAACGCCCCCAGCGAAATCCGAGCCACCATTGGCGCTGTGGCCTGCTTAATGGGATTAAGGTTGCTAATAATTGGTGTCATGTGATGTCTCTCCATCTCTTCCCCTTAATGTATCTGTGTATGTGTGTCTTTCAGTCTCTTTGTCAGGTGCAGTGTTTTGTTGTCGCTGTGTGTCTCGTCTCTCACGGCGCGTGACTTTGTGTACGGCCGCGTGAGTGTGTCTGCGTTTCTGGGGGAAGCGGTGGCGTCGTGGTCACCGCACTGCGAAATATACAAACGGGTCCTGGGCCTCCTCTCAGCCACCTCGGCTTTAAACGAGTGCCTGGTACGGTGTGTAAACATCACCGCTGGAAAGACAAAGGCTGCTGGGCGTGGTGCTGGCACCAACCTTCCTCGTGTGCCATGCGGAGGCTTTATAGGCGCTTGTGAACAGCCTCTGCCAGTTATATGGTGATGTTTTTTTTTATCACTCACCCTGTGTGTGCCTATCCAACTGTCTGTTTGAAATGCCCTTTTACCTGTCTACATTTTACATCTCTTTCTGTGTCCCTCAATCTCTCATCGTGTGTCTGTCACTTTTACGTATCTGTGTCGTTGTTCATCTGCCTGTGTGTTCTACCTCTCACCGTTTTTCTCCGCCCTGTGCGTCTGTCCCTGTGTCTGCATTTCCCTGTTTCACGAATGTGTGCGTGCCTGCCTGTCTGTGTCTGCCACAGGTGTTTCCTTGGAAGGAGCTGGAGAATCTGTATTTCCGAGACAAGAAGTTTTTGATCGAAGTGCAAGATACAAGGAGGTGAGTTCTGAGCGCATTGGACCTCGTCTCTTAACACCAAGTAGCAATAAGTGAACCATGAAACCACCAACATCTAATGTGATACCTAAAACCAGGTGACCCCCTACTGAGAATATGTCCTCTACGTGTCTTGGGGTAACGTACAAGCAGAGATATTTTGTAGACGCAGGGTTCTTTAAGAGCGGTATAAAAAGAGCAGAGAGAATGCAAGGAGGAGCCGTGTGTGTTTTAACTTCCACCAAGCGAACGCACATCAATGGGGGAGTGGTGGCGTGGTGGTTCACACGGTGCGCTACGAACACGGCGTCATGAGTGCACGGCTGATATCAGTGGCGAGTGATATCTGAACCACTTCCTGTTCCCCTGCTTCACAACCCGCGTTGACCAGCGTGGGGAAGTCTGGTCAGATAACCGCCAAGAGAAACCGACTCGGTTTGTTTCGAGGCCTTCATCCAGCAGTGGATTGATCAAGGTGGTGTGTAATGAACATACAACAAAACATTCTAAAGGCAGGTTAAATCAAAGTGGCTCCATGCTGAAATGGCCACAGGGCAGTGATCATCTCTCCACGAGCTCATGGTGGAATTTCCCCAGTCACATGTTGCAACCATTGTTGACTTCCCCAAGTTTGGTATTCATTTTATTCACCCCTTGAGGGGGGGGGGGGCACGATGATTTGGCTAGGATGTCAAATTTGTCATCTTCTGATTAAGAATCGTGAGCTCTAAACGCAATGTCGCTTGACTGGTTCCCACAAGGCAGCCAAATCGTAAATAAAGCAAAACCTATAGTAGAAGACGATTAAAAGTAGAAATTTTATTTTATGAAGCCAGCTGACAGCGTATTGATGATGAGCCTTCTTAGAGATGTGGAGTAATATACAAGACAAGTTTTATAGTCCCAGTCTTCTGAAGAGAATAAACCTGACACGAGACGAGACTAATTACATGGAAAGGAACAAATGATGAAAATGCCAGGTTTGCAGATCAGTCGGTTATTTAGAGTTGGGCCCATCGAGCTAATCCGTTCTCTTTCGATGGTGACTGGGACGGACCGTCTGGGTGCGTTACGTGGGAAGGGGTGGAGGGGCTGCATATAGAACAACAGCAGGGACATTTTATAAACATGGATAGCAATAAATATGTATTTTTACCAATAAACAACAAGAACTATGTACGATAGAAACCTAACGGGACGCATGAGAGAGGAGCGTGCGCTCGTCACACGTGGCATTTAAAACGTCAAGGGTTGCAGTGGCATTTGATGAGACGGATTAAATTACGGATGAAACAAAACATATTTTATTGTCATCTGAAAGCAGTCGTGAAGGGGAGGTGACTCGTCACCTGCCTCATTAACATCTTCTGAGCACATTCGCGGTAGGCATTCTGTCGTGTTGGAAAGCGTCACATGGCAGATCGCATTGCCGGAATTGACCTCTTTGGCCAAAAGTCACTCAACCGAAAATGCACCATAACTTGTAAATAAAGATGAATTGACTGATGGTAATTTCCATCTTAATGCCAGAGATAAAGCAATGATGTTTATGTTGAGGTCATAAGTGATGAATGGATTTGGCTTGGTCTATAAAGAATTGTAATATAGGATGGAAAAACGTGGTCTCGACTCTCTTTGGGTGATGGATGGACACGCTTTGCCCCACCGCTGCACCCCGTGCTATTTGCTTTCCTTGAACAAACGCGAGAGTTATTCCTTGGGATCACGGAGCCTCCTCACCGGAGCCTCCTCACCAGACGCGTATGCTGTGCGAGAGCTCGTCCGGCCGTTGTGACGTTTCTGATGGCTGAGACGACGCTCTTTGGGGCCCGAGACGTAACGGAATCCTGTGCGTGCGCTCGGTGTAATGAGCCGTGTCAACGTGAACCCTGCTCACTCGGCCGGCATTCCTCCCTCAGCAGCGCGGCGGGGCGTTATCACCCTTCTTCCTGTGGTTGCGAAGCTTTGTTCCATGGTAATGGACTTGTATGTACATGTATGTTGAACTTCTTTCGAACCGTACGTAGCCAGCTGTTCTAATCGTAGGTGCGGGGGAAGGACAACATTACTCAACACAAAAAGCAATTTCAAAGAAAAATTAGTTGTCAATTTATATTTAAAAGTGCGTAGCTCCAGCGACGGTTAACAAGATTTTACTAAGATTTCACAAGCATGTGGTGATCCTAGGGAAAATCTGGCTCCTGCCAGAGGAATGTGGAATTTTAAATCCTGGCTCAAGACTTTCATCGGGGGTAAGTGATGCTCCAGTGCTTGTCAGAGCGTGGAGGTGCTCCGATTAGCTTAAATGCACGGAATAACGATAGTAACATCGTTACAATCACACTTTTGAGTTTAAATGAATTAAAACTTTATCTTTTTATTTAAAGCTTTCGTGTTTTATATTTTTATTATTTTATTGTTTCCCTTCTACGTGACTTTACCGAAAGAACCAAGAATATAAAACTTTATCTGTTAACGTGCCGTAATGTTCAGTAAGCAGAACATTTCAAATCGGCGAAACAAACTCTAGACCTTTTAACACAGATGGTTCACAGCGTACCGAGATTCCATCCCGACTCCCCCGTGATGAGAGAAACAAAGTAGCCGCATAGTCCCTTTTCAGATGGCCCATTACTCTGTCAGCAACGACTACGCCGGGAGATCGTAGTGACGACCTCTGGACCGCAAGTCCGGCGCTCCGACCGTCACGGCACGGCGGCAGCGCGCGCCCACCGTTAGCAACACACGCACACCGTAGCTAGCGAGGCAAATCGAGATCGGGCGGCACCCACTTATCAGCCTCGGTTTTACGGGCAAAAGTCATCCCCTCGACAAATAATGCCGACGTTGTGCCTAGCGGCGAGCGCAGCAAGGCGGCAGCGCGTTTGACAATGAGGCGAGCAGATAGACGGGGGCGTCGCGCTCGCAGAGATGGGCGATTGCGACTTGGCCCGGCCGCGCGCGAGGAGATTTTCCCACCGATAGCCGCGTGCCTCCCAACCCCGCGCGGCCGCCGAGAAGCCCCCCTCCCGCGCTCGTAGCGGTGGAGGAGGTGGAGGGGCTCCGGGCGATATTTACAGAAACGCACGCTGCGAGACGGCGTCCGAGCTGCCGCGTCAGCTCGAGGCGCGAGCGGTGTTGTGTCTTCCCGCCCCAAAACAAAATGCGCCAGCGGGGCAACATTCGTCCGCTCCCGGTGTCACGGCGAGGACAAACGCGCGCTGCCTTCTGGCGGCCGCTTGAGCCGAGCGCCGTGTAGGGCCCATCCGTTTCAAGGACAATGCATGCATGATGAGTGCATATTTGTTTGCTTGTTGTACCACAAATGTGTGGTGAATGCAGACTTGATACCTTCTAATAGATGCGTCTCTTTGGTGTTTAACCATCTTAACACCTCCTGTATTATTGCCAGAAAGGGTGAAAGCCTTTTCTTCTTTATAATCTTAATACCGGCAAAAAAGGTCCCGTAGAGAGTACAATCCTGCTTCGACAGCGGCTTGGTCGTGATGTTTGCGCTGAGCTGCTGTTGTGTTTTTATCGTATTGGGCCTTCTGCCTTCAAGTCGAGCCAACGTTATCGGGGGAAACATCACATTCATTCATTCCCTCTTTGATTGTGGAGTTTCTACGGCCAATTCCCAGTTAAATACACATCGGACAGTTCTCAGCCGTAAAATAAATACTGACATTCACGCCCAGTTAGATGAAGCCTTCCACCTGATTAAAATAAAAACCTTCAAACGCCTATAAAAGAGTTAAGTTGTAGAATTTTACATTTAATGTTCTTTTGAAAAATATCTTGAACGTCTCCTGCCGTAAACAAGCGTGGTGCATTGCTCATCATTGGTGGCCCCGGGCCAGTGGTGGAAGTTCCTCATTCCTTGGGCAGGGCCAATCTATCCACGTTAAAAAGTTTATCATAATCGACGATGACTTTAAAATTCCAACCCCCTGTCTCGCCATCGGGCAGAATTTTTAATGTGTTTGAGAGTGACGGAACAATAATATTGACATACGGCTCAGTACCTAGAACCATTGATTTGAGTCGTGTCAGCGCTGCGTTACCACAGCCCTCTCTGGCATTGCTCACAATGAACCGTCTGACTCGCAGGGCGCTTGTTCCATCCATAATAACCAATAAAACACTGCGACGCATTGTGCATTGTATGCAACAAGTGTATGATCTGTATCAACATTCAAGCTATGGTGGGTTAATCAGTTTGCTTAACATTCTGACTGATACTCTTTGGTTCTTTCGGTAAAGTCACGTAGGTAGAAAAATAAAATATAAAATATCATGATATATTATAAAAGAAAAAATATATCATATGATATATCATATGATATGTTATTTTTATTTTATTTTTCTACCTACGTGACTTGACCGAAAGAACCAAAGAGTATGGATTCCTGCAGTCACGAAAGCTTCAAATCAAGATTCTGACTGATGTTTGTAAAAAACAAAGAGCTCCCGTATAGCCGTATAGACTGCTGGGGCAAGGGGGGGGTCGTGTGGGCTAGCATCCACACCCTTCCCACCTTGGTCTCCCCAGCGCTTTATTTATTTACACCCGGCCCCAGTTGTTCGTTTAAGGGTTAGTCGACCTAGGCGAGGCCCCGGCCCAGTTCACAGACAGCGCGAGTGCGTGGCCGGGGATTGAACCCAGATGATTACCTGCATCACCGGCACCCAACGACCATTGTGGATAACGCCTAGACGGCGATGATGACGGTGGTTTGATGCGCGTGCGGTGGAATCAGTCTTGCGCGCAATCATTTCGTCCAGTTATGTACACGGCGTGCAAACAATTGGGCATCGGCACTCCTCGAGCCGAAGGAACGTTGCCATTGTGCGCGAGCAGATGAACCTGCTCATCCACCGCACGCCGGTTCCCGCGGTGAACCCCGTGAGCGCGTGAGGGTTTATGGGACACGGTGCCACCATCATGTGGGCGGCTGGAGACGCGTGTAGCCCAGCAGTCGTGTGAGTGGTGTTTGTGCATCATAGGTGCTGCTCGCTAACAGCACTTGCCCCTACAGTCTGTTAAGGCTATATGGGGGATCTTTGTTTTTGTCTTGGGAGCGGTAGTGTAGCGGTTAGCATGCTGTGCTACGAACCCGGCAACCCGAGTTCGATTCCCGCTCACGGCCAACACCGGTGACGGTGATCTGAACCGGTGCTGGGCATCTTCTTGGTCGACTCAGCCTCATATGAGGAGCTGGTGCGGTGTGTAAAGCATCGCCACTGGGGGGACGAAGGTGGCCATGCGTGGTGATGGCCACCCGCTCCATTGTGTGCTGTGCCGGCCTTCATAGGTGCTATTCGCTAACAACACTTGCCCCAATAGCCTGTTAAAGGTTATACGGGGGATCTTTTTCTTTTGAATGTGCTTATCGGGGGAGCTGTGGCACTGTGGTTACTGCACTGCACTGTGAACCCGATGTCCTGAGTTTGATTCCGGGCCACGGTTAACATCCATCAGCCTCTTTCAGCATTATTTTATAGAACCCTTAATTTATGGTTTTCTACATTCAACAAAATAGCAACATTGCACAAATATGAGATGAAAATGAAAGAAGAGAGTTTTACCGAGCTTATTGCACAAATGCGTCTAAAACGTGGCAACAATGCTTTAAATGTTAACATGCATCTTTCATTCTGCCTTTGTGTGTGTGCTTGTTCTTCCTTTTTTGCACATGTTTAAATAGGTAATTTGCTTCAGGCATACCACATTCAAATCATGTTTAGCTTGTCATATCTATTGATATATAGACAACCCAAAATATAATACGTATATACGGTTGAATGAGCCCACCATCCCTCTACTCTCGATAAACGAGGTACCGCTTTGTGCCCTGAAACAGTGATAGAAATTGGACATTCCCGTGACGAGGCCCAGCTTAGGCACAGACCTACGATCGCCGTCGACTGTCCGCAAGCGGCACCTACTGATTCTAATCGTCGACTGAGCGACGAGTTTCCGAGGTCGGTCTCGGGGCGGGGGTCCTCGCGACGGCGAGTCGAGCGCGAGGGTGGCCGTTGTCGGCACGGGCCGCCCGACGGTGGCGGCGCCCCCGTGGTGCGGCACAGGGATGAACCCCGTGCCGTGGGGCCCCGTGCCGTGGGGCCCCGTGTCGTGCGCTCCGCAGGCAGTGCGTCGTGAGCCGTCGATCGTTTGGACCGGGCGGCGTCGGAGGCGGAGGGGGAGGAGGAGGGGCGGGCGTGGTGGTGCACACGTGGTATGGATCGACGTCTCTGATCAAGTGCATCTGGGCCATGGCCATCAGCCAGCACCAATTCTACCTGGACAGGAAGCAGAGCATGGTGAGTCTGACGTGCGGGGCGCTTCGGCACAACGCCACAGCACCAGTCATCTTCTGGAATCCTAAGTCTTTACGACGGTAAGGAGGTTGTCATGGCCGGTGACATTGGTCTCCTCACCTGGCCACATCGCTTGATTCTTTCTCGCACAGTTGACATCTTACTTGAGTCTCATCATCATCGTCGTTGCCGTATGGCTGTAGGTCACCACCATCTGGCTGCTGTGGGTGACCTGCTGTCCTAAACCTTGCATGGTGCAACCTCATTGCAACCTATAATTGTCCCCATTATTTTCCTACAATTTTATGTTACGAATATCCAAGTTGCTTACCCCATACTGCCTCCTAAGGCTTGTGGCCTTCGGAGGAAAAATATACACCAAGCGATGTTTACACACGGCATCAGGTACTCATTTGAGGTTGAGTCGACCTAGGGGAGGGCCCCGGACCAGTTCAGATAATTATCTGGTGACGATTATAAACCGGTGACAATCACAATCGTCACCGGTTTATAATCGTGAGCAGAAATCGAACTCGGATTTGCCAGGTTCGTAGCGCAGCGCGCTAACCGCTACACCACCGCTCCGCACCAGGCCAAGATCGCTGCAGCTCGGAGCCTCGGGGAGATGATGTCCGACCTGGACGACGCCGGCTCCGTGCGTGCCGCTCGGCTCACCAGCGTCGGCAGCAAGAACCTGCTCAACAGCCGTCCCAGCTCCAGCAGCCTCTACTCCACAGGTCTCCCCCCTCGCCCCCTCACGCTCTGTCCTTGCCCCTAACGCTCACCCCTTCAACTATTCCCTCGCCCTCTCCCCCTTTGAATTCTTCCCTCACGCTCTCTCCCCTCACGCTCTCTCCCCTCACATGTTAATAAATGGACGAATATATGAATACGAAGTTCATGAGTACGCAAACATCACACCACCTGGCTTCGACATTCCTCCTCGAAGACAATGGTACAACCATCAACCGCATCGGAACGCCAACGCGCACAGCTCCTTCATAGAAAATAAAAGGCACGAGCCACAGCAGTCCGGCCGTGGCAGTGCAACCCCAACCGTTCGTTGCCATACGCACGAGAATTTAACCAAAATGTTGTTGCCGCTGCCGCCGTTGCGACCGCAGACTCGGTGGACACGGAGGCGAATGATGCGGCGGCGCGCGAGATACTGACATCGCTGCGCAGTAAGCAGAGCGAGCTGCAGGAGCAGCTGGAGGAGCAGCTGCAGGAGCTGCGCAGGATCTGCCTGCGCGAGGCCGTGAGTTCCACCGGCTCGTCCCGGCTTGGGTCCCCACGCTGCCGTCCTCCCCGCCAATCCCTCCCTACCATCCTCCCTTCGTCAAGTCTCTATGTTTCCACGGTCGCCCTCTGGCGTGTCAGGCCCGGGCTGCCGTGCCAGTCTTCCCCCTGTCTTAGCGGGCTTCTTAAAAGTCACCGCCCCCCTCAATATGATTTGCGATTGATTGGAAAATCGCTTGCGATGGGACGTCTCGTCGGATTGCAAGGAGTGGCCCGGGGTGTCGATTGACGCGCGCCGTAGCAAACGCGTCGTGGCGCGCGGACAAATGTTTAAAATGTGTGACTTGAACGGCGCGCATTCACACACCGAACATCACACCCGTTTAAGCACGCGCGCACGCGCACACGCGCACACGCAGGGGTAAATAAACACGAACGTAGGTGAGCGGTACTCGCCAACCCAGTTCACATGGAGCGTGCCACCGCCCGCCGACAGGAGCTGACGGGGAAGCTGCCCGCGGAGTTCCCCCTGCAGAGCGGGGAGACGCTGCCACGCGTGCGGCGCCGCGTCGGAGCCACCTTCCGCCTCGACGAGACCAAGATCCGGCCCAAGGGCCTGGTGAGCGTGGGGGGAGCGTGGGGGGAGCGTGGGGGGAGCGTGGGGGGAGCGTGGGGGGAGCAGCTCTCAGGTGAATGACTGTGGCTGCTGGGTAATTATCACTGTTAGGCCAATCGAGGCGGCTGTGTGGTGAAAGAAGAGCTATGGCTGTCAAATGCACGACTGCTACTTTCTGGTGAATGACTTTGGTTGACCTTGTGAACGGCCGTAGCTGTCTGTGCGACGACCGCGGCTGTCCGTGCTATGACTACGGCCGACCGCGTGAGCGACCGTGAGCGACCGTGCGAACGACTGTGGGGTGGCAGGAGAGCGAGCTGGAGCGTCTGGAGACGGAGTTCTCGGTCCAGGAGGGGATCGTGCAGGCGGCGCTGAAGCTGGCCAAGGAGGAGGGGCTGCAGCGCGCCACACGCAGGCGGCGCAAGGCCGACTACGCGGCGGCCGCCGTCAAGCTGCAGGCCCAGGAGGCGGCGATCAACGCGCTGCGCGAGCGGGCGGGAAGGAGACCCACGCAGAGGGCCTCCGTCATCGTGCCGGGTGACCGCTCGCCCCGCTGCACGACATGCACCGACCGTGCCCGCGAGGCGCTGGGAACGCGGGCGGGGATTGTGAGAATCCGGCGCGGGGTTTGACGTGCGGCGCTTGCGACCTTCGCTCTGAAACGGCTGCCCGTTGTTCCCCCGTGCCTCCTCGGTTGCAGATGACCTGATTCTGTCGGAAGAAAGCTCGATCTCGGACGGACTTCCAGCTGCCGACGGTCAGTGTCCCAATGTTGCTGCGTCGAGCGACGCGCCTTCCGCAGCACCCGTGGCACCGCCTTGCAGCCCTCCTGACCCTTAGTAAAGCTTTATAATTAATTATTTTTGCACCATTATCGCAGCCCACGTTGAGCATTCTCGTGAGCGATGTGTCTATACAGCCACAAGTTACATGTGCTCCATCTTTTTGCACAGTAGACTGCACAGCCAACATGCCTCCCGTGATAATCTTGGTCTAGAAGAAAGCTTGGCTATTAGTCTACAATCTTGTAATTATTTACATTCCTAACTATTTTAGTTAAAAACAACGTTGTGAAGTTGCTTCTCTTCAGTTGTTTCCCCACGGAATACGGACGCACGATGATGCACACTCCCTCTCCTTGCCCTACTGTAGGCACGGGAGCAGGGAATATAAACTTTGCTCATTTAAAACTCTAGCTGAAGAATCGCTTTGATCACAGTTCTAACGGTTTCACGTTGTTGTTGGGAGGGAGCGAGTTTTGACCGAAGCTCTTTTGTCGCTGGCGCAGGCCAGATGGCCCGCGGGCGCAGCCCGCCGACCCGCCTGGCGAAATGTTAACTACCTTGCCTGGTGTACAGGAGGTCGTGGATTCGATCCCAACCCTGACGCCTGTTGTATATTTGGCGTTTGCGTGTCTCTCTCCCCATGGTCGTGTGGATTTTTCTCCGGGTCCTCCGGTTTTTCCCTCCACACTTAGAATCAACTCCACGCGTTTAGAGTATTTGGCTGCTGTACATTTCCAGACGATAAGCCACTTCGTTGAGCCATCATTTGTGACCAGGTTGCTTCTGAAAAAGAGCTACATAAGCTCTGGTAAAATAAACAACAGTTTCGTTTTAGTTTAGTAGTTTTAACTGTCCGCTGTGGCTCTTCACACAGACGACGTTTCGGTGAAATCTGCAGTGCCCGCCGAGCGAGCGGTCACCCCGTCCCCGGCGGAGGATGGCCGCAAGGCGCAGCACGGCTCCCCCAACGGGATCCTGCACTACGCCTTCTCCACCCTGACGCTGCGCAGGAACAAGGGCGCGCGGCCCGGCTCGACGCGCACACGCTCGCAGTCTCGGGCCAGCCACACCAGGTGAGCAGCACGCACTTGGCTTCTCTATATTCCCTCCACTGTGATGTTCGTGTGTGCGTGTGTATATAGCGGTAGGCGTGTGTGTGCGCGTGTGTATATATCGTGGGGAGGTGTAGCGCATGGGTTGGCGCGCTACGCTACGAACCCGGCAACCGGAATTCGATGTGTAAACATCACCACAGGGGAGACAAAGGAGGCCGGACGTGGTGTTGGCTACCCACTCCCTCGTGTGCCGTGCCGGCTCTCATAGGTGCTTGCTAACAGCACTTGCCTCAACAGTCTGTTAAAGGCGGGGCGTTGGTGGGTGGCGACCGCGCCGTGAGGAGAGCTGGGAAGGGCTGCAGCAGCCACATCGGTGACCACACGAAGAGCTCCGTCTGCATTCTATGCAAAGTGGCAGTCACCTTTTTTCTGATGTTCGCCGCCTGCCCTGAACATCGAGTCCCGTACTGGCGGCTGAGGACCGGCATTGCGAGGCGCTGCCCGCACGCCGCTCGGCCTTGCTGGCTTTGATAGGTGCTCGCCAACGGCAATACCTCCCGACGCTCTGCAAGTCTACATAGTAGGCTTGTAATGAGTCGGCTAATTACGTGCTAATGTTGCTTTAGAGCAATTGGATGGGTGAGAGAGCACAAACGAGAGATAAAACATTGACATTGCAAACAAGACAAATACAAAAATGATTCGTGAATGTGAACATGACGATTCTGTGAATTGGCAGAAAGGGTGGAGTCGTTTCATGCCTACCTAAATGTGTCTTTGCGTGCGTGTGTTGCATGTATGCATACAGGGCATCTTTGCATATGCATGGAGTGTAAACCTTTACAGTTCATATCCATGCCTGTTTATATATCAAACACGTAAGTCTTGTAATACGAACGGTTACGTAGCCTAGAGGTCCGAGTGCTTTCCACTGAAATAATTTAACACAGGGTAGACGATTCGATTCCCACTGCAGCCATCCGGCAACGTGCTCGTTAAAGACCGCGTGACGTTATTGACAAGAGTAGGTCATCGCATGCCATTGTCGTAGCCGGAATCATGAATGTAAACATGGAACCAGATAAACAGCAATCTTGGCTTGCAAGTTAATGGAACACACAGTGGGCCATCACCTGCTTAAAGGGCAATTGATTTATGGGCTCTTAGGTGAGCAGGCTTTTTGTAATGAATGGGCACCTTTCTTTATTGAGGCGGTGTGATGGCATGTGCTCATGTCTGGTCTGACCACACTGCATTAGTCACGCCGGCTGGGTTGTTGGAGCTTGGCCAATTCATAGCCCCAGGGAGTCAATGCTGTCTGAGTTATTATAGCGACTGTGTGTGTGGGCAGTGGCGTAGTGGAGAGCGTGGAAGCCGTAGTTGAGCGGTTAACTTCAGAGCAAAACCAGTGACGATTATCTGAACCGGTCCTGTGCCTCCCCTAGGTCGACTCAGCCTCAAATGAGTACCTGATGTGGTGTGTAAACATCACCACGAGCGAATTGGCCGTGCGTGGTTCTGGCCACCCACCCCCTCGTGTGCTGTGCCGGCCTTAATAGGTGCTCGCTAACAGCACTTGCCCCAAAAGCCTGCTAAAGGATCCGCGGGGGATCTATGTAGTGGAAAGCGCACTGCGCCATGAACCCGGTGACCAGATATCCACGTGGCGCACATCGACCCATTGCCCACGTTCGACTCGGCGGAGGGGAACCCAGCGTGGCTGGCGCTGCGAAGGGCATCGGCATCCCCTGGCTGCTCATGAACTCTGCATTTTCAGTGGGCACTCTGGTTGGCACAGATGGCAAAAAACATGTGCCCCCCACACCTAGACCTGGCTTCCAGTGACTGAAATTGAAGAATCACTTGCAGGGAAGCAGTGGTGACTCTAGGAAACATGAAATAACCATAAACATTAAATAGTGGCCATTATGGAAAACAAATCCTGGTTATCTATCTTGGGTCGATAAAATAGGTATCACTTTGTCAAGTCAACACTGGTGCTCCTATGGTTAGACATCATACTGCCATAATAGGAATGTGGAATTTTTTTGGCTCAGGGCAGCAGGAGATCGCTCATCGCTCGCGTTTCCCTCCCCGTTCCCTGCAGCACGGACGAGTGGAAGGACCCTGGGCCGGACCGCGACACCGCCCCCTCGCCGGCGTCCACGCCACGCACGTCCGGATCGAGTTCTCACCTCAGGTGCCCTCCGCCGCCCGCTTGCCAACGCCCAGGGGCAACCCGGGCTTCCGCGAGCCCGTAGCACGGCAACTCGGCTCGAGTGACCCGGCATTGCACGCAGTGGGGGCAACGCTCTCCCCACCCCGCTCTGTCACAGGAGGGAGAGAGTTGCTCATCGCACGACAGTCGGGACGTTATTTCTCATTCCCAGGGCTGGTGTTGAGCCCAATTTTAATTACAAAATCAAGTTTCTTCAGATGTGGTGTTTTGTGTAGTCATTGGCGAGCGAGTTTCCACTCGCCCAGCGGTGTTCGCTGTGGGCAGGAATTGGACCGGGGTCGCAGGCTTCGTAGCTCGATGCGCGAACCTCTGTGCCACTGCTCCAAAACCTCCCAGTGCGTCAAGAGACCGTCCAGATTTTGTGCTTGGTATGAACGTTATCGACAGATTTGTCTGGTATTTTGTTGTCTCTTCGATAATAGTGGATACAAGAACCACCAGAGCTCAGTCTACAACAGTAACACGACGTAACATAAAGCGAGTCGCCATCTGTATAATGCACATGGTGACTCGGTAGGTTTTATAAAAGTGTTCAAAGCCCGTGGAAAAGGTGTCATTCTGTCCCTTCATGATTGCCCCCTATTATTAATCGCCAACATTGCCAACCCCGTTGTCCCGCAGCTCGGTGGAGTCAAGCCCGGTGCGCTCGCGCTCCTTCTCGCACCAGCTCCTCTCTCGGCCGCTCGCCGTCGTCGGACGGACGGGCAGCTCCGACCCCGCCGCGACCCCCGAATGGCCGGCCCCTCGCGAGCGAGCGTGGGCCGGCAGGCGCCAAGGAACCGCAGCCCCCGCTCCTCGCCACCAGCAGCAGCAGCAGCAGCACCAACACCGCCATCCTCCGTCACCGCAGCTGCGGCCACACCCGGACATCGTCGTCAGTGGCAGCGCGGGCCCCCTGGGCTGCGGCGGCGGCGGCGTGGCGAGTTCGCCCACGGCGGACGGCCGCTGCTCGTTGGCCAGCCGCTCCGGCTCGGAAGCCGGCTGGGCCGAGTGGCCCGACGGCTGCACGCAGACGCTGGGACGCTACCCGCGCGGGCGCGACCACCGCCAGTCATCCGCCGCCGCCGCCGCCGCCGCCGCGAACGCCGCCTCCGACTCGTACGGCCACGGCGCGGGGCCGCGGGGCTCGCAGACGCCGGGCCCGCGCTCTCGCCGCGCCGCGCCTTCGCCGTCGCCCCCCGGGCTCGGCGGGGGGCGGCAGCAGGGCAGCCTGCGCAGGAGCGCCACGGCGCCCGGGCCCGGGGGAGTCTCCGGGCTCCGGACGCCCGTGCCGGCCGACGACGACGTCGGCGTGGAAGGGGGAGGCGCGCGGGAGCGCGAGATCGCCAAGGAGAGGCTGAAGATGTGGTACGACGAGAGGCGGCCGATCGCGCGCAACCAGTTCTACCAGAGCCTGCGCGCCGAGCCGACGCACGGGAGGCGAGTGAGCGCCGGTTCCACGTGCTTCTACGTCAGCCAGAAGCTGCAGCTAAGCCGGGAGACCGTGGACCGATGCAACGGTTCGTTCACGAGGTTGCTGCGACTCGGGCTGACGGCGGCGTTTGTGGCGTAGCGCGAGGGGATCCGGGCGGGCGGAGGGGGGCGTCATTTACCGAATGTGTTTAGGGGCCTCGACACGTCCATCACTGTTGGCATAAAAACATCATACAGCACTCTGTATGATGTTTTGAGTCGTGCCCCCTTTTAAGGAGGTGTTGGGGATTTATCTGTGCCTTTGAGCACTGCTGCCTTAGTCTTGTGCAACCCATCCATATTAGTTTATTGGGCCACAATCTGAAAGAGTTGAACTGGGCCCAGGTTTTCTGTGTTTAAAGCCATTGCCACTGGGAAACACTGGTCTGGAATGCCCATTTGTCAATGGACTTTAATCTTATTTTAATATTGGTTATTAAAGAGACCGCTTGGCTGATATTCTTCATTACCCACTCTTGTCCCATGGCTAATTACAATTACTCATGATGCCAGCAGATGGCAGCATCGCGAGTACATAGCCAACCTGCGTCCAGACACTCAACTGATAGCCCCTTGTCTGTGTGGGTTTTCTCCAGGAAATCCCACGTAAAAAAATGGCTTGAAAAAATTAATTGACCAAATCAGGATCATCCTGATTAAGAGCGTGCACAACTCGGCTTGGGTTTCCTGAACAAAAATCTCAAATTATTGCGGACGCCCGTGCCTTTTACAGGTAACATCGTGTAAATGCGTTATTAGCATTGCGCCTGTTTACTCAGGAAAGCTTCACCGTGTCTCATGAGTCTTCATTTTTGAGGAGGGTCCTGCAAAATTTGGGAGCGGGTGACGTTTGCTGTGAATAATCCAGTGTTACACGTTGGAAAAGACTGCGACATGAGCCAGCATCTCTCCCGGTAGGGGGGGCTGTGTTGGACCACTAAGCTGCGTTCGAATTCAGGTCCCAGGCACAAACGCTAAACCACGCTCTGTGGAGTGTCTCGAGTTGGTCTCGGCCCAGTCACCCACAGCGCCCATCACACACGCAGTCTGCCGTGTATTCAGTCAGCCTGTTTGGACATCATGCCACACGGCCCCCGTGGTACAACCCGAAAACGCGTTCGAGAGGGCCACGGCATAACCGTGAAAACATATGCACCAGCTGCCTTGGGGTCATATAGTACCATAGAAAACCTCTCTTATCCGCATCCCTACTGTGCAGCGCGATCATCTAACAGATAGCCACCGGGAACCGTGAGCCAGTCCCCCTGCAGGTACGCGGGCTTCAAGGAGGCTGTGCTGTGTGTGCCGCAGGCCTGGATGTTGGCAGGAGAAGGGAGCCCATGGTGTACTCCCCGGGCACCGGGGACTCGGTGCTGCACGCTGCCGAACGGAGGCAGGAGGCCACGTCCTCTATGTTGACGACGCACGTCCGGTACGGGGGCAGGGGGCGAGCTGCGTGTGTGTGTCTCACCACCGTCGCTGGTGCCGTGTGTGTGTCTCACCACCGTCGCTGGTGCCGTGTTGTGTGTGTCTCACCACCGTCGCTGGTGCCGTGTTGTGTGTGTCTCACCACCGTCGCTGGTGCCGCGTTGTGTGTGTCTCACCACCGTCGCTGGTGCCGTGTGTGTGTCTCACCACCGTCGCTGGTGCCGCGTTGTGTGTGTCTCATCACCGTCGCTGGTGCCGTGTGTGTGTCTCACCACCGTCGCTGGTGCCACGTTGTGTGTGTCTCACCACCGTCGCTGGTGCCGCGTTGTGTGTGTCTCACCACCGTCGCTGGTGCCGCGTTGTGTGTGTCTCATCACCGTCGCTGGTGCCGTGTGTGTGTCTCACCACCGTCGCTGGTGCCACGTTGTGTGTGTCTCACCACCGTCGCTGGTGCCGCGTTGTGTGTGTCTCACCACCGTCGCTGGTGCCACGTTGTGTGTCTCACCACCGTCGCTGGTGCCGCGCAACAGAGACCTGAGATCTCCTCGGACACATCGGTGTTTAACATTCAAAAACATACAAAAAAAAACTAAGACACCCCATATAGCATTTAACAGACCGTTAGGGCAAGTGCTTTTCGTGACCACCTATGAACGCCGGCACGGCACACGAGGGGGAGGGTGGCCAGCACCACGCCCGGCCAGCACCACCTTTGTATTCCTAGTGGTGATATATACACATGGAACCAGGCACTTATTTCAGGCTGAGTCGATCTAGGGGAGGAGGCCCAGGACCGGTTCAGATAATCGTCACTGGTGTTGGCCGCAAGCGTAAATCGACCTCGGGTTGCCGGGTTTGTAGCGTAGTGCGCTAACCGCTACACTACCGCGCCCCACAAAAACATACACACGAATGCACGCTTATGTTAGCAACCTACTTGCTGTACTGCTATCTTCTGACCACCTTGCATCCTCTTGGTTTGGATAATGTACAGTACTTGTGGATGTTGACGATCCACCGACCCCGCCAAGGCCTGCTCTCTGCCTGCCTCGTGTGCCGCTGCTGTTCTCCTGTTCACATCCAGTCTCCTCTGTCTGACCTCTCCCTCCCTCTCCCCTCTCTCCTCTCTCCTCCTTGTCTTTCCCCTCTGTCCTCGCAGAGTGATGTACGTCGTTTCAACTCTCGTTACTGCTTCTCCCTCCCTGCCAAATGCCAACCTGACTTAGTGCCCCCCGCAGGTAACGAGCCGATACAAAAAGATAAACGCCACTCGGGGGGTTTCCTCGCCGCGGCTCCCGCGATACGCTGTCGGGCCGTACCGCGCGTTGCTCGGCACGACGTCCGACGTTTCGCTCCACGTGCCGTAAAACGCGCGGTACAACCCGAAAACTCATTGGGAGAGCCGTAAACGAGTTCTTAAAAACGCTTAGCCGAAGACGTGCGGCTATATCGCCGCATCGTGACGCAACGGTGCGGCGGTTTAAATCCATATTTACCAAAATAAAACTTCCCGCTCGCCCGTCAAATCCTCGCACCCTGCCACAGGATGGAGTCCCGCCACTACGGCGTCTACATAGCCCTGTGGTGCAGCTGCTCCCACTCAGCGTCGAGGGTCACGATGTCGCCGGGCCGCCGGCCGCCTCCCTGTTGACCACTGCGGCCGTAACCACCGCGGGCAGCGTGGCTGTGGATCAATGTAGAGGCTGTACGGGGGCTGCTCGCTGTGCGCGGCGTGAATGGAGTTGTGAAGCGATGTTGGAGGGGAGCGTGGCGAGGATATCCACATGCGGAGGACGCTGCCCGCGTGCAGTGACGCGACACCGCCCACAGCGGTTGTACCCCTGTAGCGGCACTTGGGGGCGCTATTGCAGTGCATCTAAAAATAACATTGTCACAAGAGGAAGTATTTACCGCTTTGTGGAACGCAAATAGTAGTTTTCCTATGAAGAGACTGGTTCCTGCCACACAATTGTAGAATTTCCACCACTGAATTGGTGTTATCCAATGTTTCTATGGAAAATCTAAACAAATTGAGACAATGTTAACGATGCATTAGAACCTTATTAATCAACTGCTTGTGTGTGTGTGTTTCCAGGTCCTACCCTGAGCGGTCGTCGTACCAAAGGTCCTCCGACTTGAGGCCGGAGCCGGGCTACGCGAAGCACATCGACATGGATTCTGGAACGCTCGTTTGACCCCACATGACCCCCGGACTCCCCGAGGAGGGGTGGGGGGGGGAGCGAGTGCCGGTGGTGCTCTTTCGAACTCGGCGGTGTTCCTGTCCACGGCCGCCACGCCAACGGCTCCTCACCTCCAAGCTGCCGTGAGCTTTTGGCTCGAGAGGAAACGTTCAAAAGGACTACGAGAGGGAGGGCGGGGGTGGCCGGTGGGGTGGTGGTTCCAGGAGGGCCCACGACGGCCGTGTCGGAGACACCAAGACCCGGGGTTCGACTCCACAGGCTTCGGCAGACTCTCACAAAACCAGCAAAAAAAAACATAATTGGGAAGAGAAAACACAAAAAAGTTTGGGTTGAGTTCAGACAAAGTGATCGCCCCTCGAAGTATTTGTCACGGACGTGGAGCGAGCAACTTACTTGACGACTCAACTGAAGGAGGTGCAAGTCCGGTGGATGTCGGCAAGATGAAGCCTTGAAGGATCTCAAAAGTTTGCAATGGCACAGCTGCGTGTCTCCCTCTCCCTGACGTCGAGACGAGGATCTGATTTGAGCTTTGTTCTGCGGCTAAATGCTGAGGACCAGAATGGGGGGAGGGGGGGAAATAGCAGAAAAAACTGGAGAGTGTCATTGACATGGAAACATTTGTCATTTTATGTTTGTTACCACACTGAGCTCATCACGAAGCCATACCCAGCTGCCACCTGCCTGCCTTATTTAAGATTATTTTTTACTATTTTCTTTTTACAAATCGAGGCCCCTTCACGATCCCTTGCGTTTGATCTTGAGAAAAAGTCTTAGTTATAAAAAGCACAAGCGGTTTCCAAACGTCCCTGAAATTTGAAAACGCACACATCGATCATCGACACATTTTAATCACTCGCTCTTTAATTTCCCTCCCGTTATTTTATTTCCTGTAAATATTTACGTTGGAAGTCGGTCTGCTCGATTGAGCATGGTGGCAGCGTTCCTTGTTGGTGGCCCTCAGTCCCATTGGTGGAAATTCCACATCCCTATGGCAGGGGGCCAGTGTGTCCATAGAACAAGCACTGTTGGCGTCCCGTGAAGTGGTACTTGTTTTAATGACCGCGGAAAGATGATGGGCCGAGCCAACCCCAGGTACGGGATTGTAACTTGTAACATTCCATTTTGGAGTCAAGGACTCTTAACCACCCCACCGACCGGCTGGAATTCATCAATACGCTCTCATTTTGTTCAAAGCAGTGCGAATGGTGCAAGGGTTAGGGTTTGGCTACGTAACTGTTACAAGCCCGCCTGTAGATTAAACTCGCAACAGGGCTTTGGGATTCCTTGCAGTGGTCCAGTACTCAACAGCGACAGTGAATCGGTATCTTCAGGGAGTCTTGTGTGTGTGTGTATCCTGTTTGAGCACAGGCACCAAGAGTGCAACACCTCAAGCTGCTATACAGCAGCAGCAGTAGTAGCAGCAGCAGTAGTAGCAGCAGCAGCAGTAGCAAGGCAGACAAACAATGGGCGAGCGAAATGAGGGGCTGAAAGTTTTCTTCAAAAGTGGAAAAAACACATTAACTCTTCATAATAAACATTAACTCTGTCAGCAAGGGCGAGGAAGAGGGATTGCACGATCAGGGAAGACACCTGGAACGGCATGCGAGTCGGTCACAAGCAGAAGAGGAAAGGTCACGGGCAAGGTCTGGAACGGGAAGTGAGCAATGTGAAGGGGGGGTGTCTAAGACTCCGGCCACTGGGCAGAGGCGTTGTTAGCGATCTATAGTCACGTGGGTTAAAGCATTTTAAATAATAAAAAAATAAACGTAGCAGATAACGTAATAACAAACACGAATACATCTAATACGCATTCTGTTAGAGGTTAATTCAAACTGTTTAAAATAGGTTTCGGTGTCATTAGCAGTAACCCTTTGTGGAAACTAGCATACATTGAAAATATTAAATAAAACCTCAAAATAAATGCCTTGTGTTGCCACCAAACATGTTTTTCAAGCCTTATTTTAAATTAGCATTGCATGCAAAAATAATTGCCATTTTCAAATGTGGCATCTACACCGTTGCGTTTAAATCGACATTCTCCCCGATGAGAAACTGCATTTGGGCTTGGTTGCCAGGTTACGTGTCGTTCTGCACTTGCGTTTCAGTTGCACTGCGTTTTCTCGTCGGTCACAGATTCGACGTGCAGCTGAATCAGCTGACCTGAAGGCAGCTGCCGTCACGTAGAACGCGCTACCAAAGGGTCCGCTAACAGTGCTAGGTTTGTTCCTCAAGTAATAAAATAATGACCGAGGTGTCCGAGGGGGCTCGAGAAGAGGCCGCTCCTACATGAGAGCACCGAGCCTGGCACCACCACCACCACCACCACCGAGATCTTGGGTTGTTGGAACGCGTGTTTCGGCTCTCCACCGTCACCACCGGCTCCCTTAAGCGGAGCGGTGGCGAGTTTGTTGCCTCTGCCGGGCGGTCCCAACGGTGGTGACAAGTAAACTAACATGTTTACATTCTCGTCAATCCAACATGTTTACATTCTATTCTTCACGAAAAGGTTTAAACAGTTGCATAAGTGTTGGTTGGGGGGGGGGGGGGGGGGGGGTAAGGAAATGTATTTTGCGGAGGAAAAAGCAGGGATTATTGCGAATACGATGGTAAAGGTGGGTTTGTAAATGTGTGGGTGTGTGGTGGAGAGGAGCCAATGTCAATAGCAGGGAGGTGCATTTGAAAGGTGAAGCTAGGTTCTATTTGGTACACCCTTTACATATTCATCACCGAGGTCTGATTTCTAGGTTTCTTGTTTGTTACTGAGGGATGGACGGTGGGCCGAGTCATCTCCTTGCCACATGTTGAATTCGTCACTTTTATATTGTCCCAGGAAACCCCGGCATTGAAATGTGAAATTTCCACTCCGGGCCTGGGAGCGGCAATGAAGACGGGCACTGCGCCATTATTTGTTCAGGGAATTCGCTGGTTTTGCGTTGCATTGGCAATTGACGATAGGTGGGTTCGTACAGCGAACTAGTTGACTGCATGCAGTGTTGATGAGATTGGTTGCGGGTCTGGATTCAGAGTGCAGAAAGCATCAGAAGGTCAGATAGAAAGGGGAGGTTTGCAACAGGCTGTACGAGCAACAGAGAGGGGGGCAATCTCCCATTGTGCTGTCAGAATTGAGTGAAGGTAGAGAGAGGGGTGGGGGGCAGTGTTTACTGGGTAGAAGGCATGTTGTGGAACTTGTTGTTTTTACGTTTGAGGAGTACATGAAATTGTATTTAATGTATCGCTCTGGCTGTTTTACGGAAGTAATGTTTCAGTAATCCACAGCACGTTACGTGACCAAAGAAGGCTCGGTCATGGTCCAGTGGGCTGTAATGTTTTGTAATACATTTTACATTTGCAGTGTCATCCGTTTTACAACGTATTGCAAATATATTTGACAAGGGCATTCCAGGATTGAACAATCCCATGAATACACTTTGCTGCAAAATGCAACATAGTCGTGGATTCGGTGTGGAGTAAAATAATAATAATAATACGCAGCGTTTACTTGGCTGTCGGTGGCTGTGGAGCCGCGCGGTCGCAGTCCTCGCCGCTGAATCGGTGTCTCGTCAACGAGGCAGTCCCTGGGACAGCCGTCCTGTCGCTCCGGGAACCAAACGAGACGCATGTTGGATTACATCGAGTCCCTTTTGGTATCATTGTTCACGAAAGGAGGCCATTGTGTTTGCCAGCGGGTTTAGACTTGATACTTTTGAGGCATTTATAGAATTTTACGCTGTGGCATGATGAGATTCTACTTCTGTAGAGCTGTGGAGACGGTCATTGTGCAACCTATGGATGTATTCGGGGCTGGATGTAAAATAACGAAACCCATGATGATCTTGGAAGGACGGCATTACTTGGGTTTCATTATTGGTGTGGGGGTAGTTTGAGATTATTTGCAAGTAAGGGAACTAAATACACGGGTGACCAATAGTGTCAGTTTTACACAACTGTAAAAACCCTCTTTGGTAATACACTCGTGTTCTGTGTTTGCTACGGGGGTACTCACCTGTCTCTTAGGGGGGCGCGGGGGGGGGGGTGCAGTCTTGACAAATCTGTCAGTCTTCCTGGAAGATTAGTCTCGTTTTGGTTGTCAGTTGGCGCAATACGCGACTCAAAAACATTTGTGTGCAGTTCTCTCCCCCGCTTCTGATGAGTCCCATGAGAGGTCCCGCCCAGCCTCTGTACCTCCGAGGTTGCAGCAGCTGAGCCGCGGCGTTCGTAGTCGCACAGGAATGCGTCGGTTCTCATCGTCGGGGACGGCTCCCGGAGTCCCTCCGGTGTTGTGTGGGTGCTCAAGTCTGAAATCGCAGACCCCTGAAGCTCCGCTCGCTCACAGAACACTGTCCATAACAGTGCTTTGTTTGGGGTTCGATCGAGTACACAAAAAGATACCTATTATGGATATTGGTCGTGTCCCGTAGCGTGCTTGCACAGCTGCTTACCGACGAGGAATTGTGAAAGGCGTTCCGCTTTCACTGTCACGCCATTAGTTTTCGTTACATAATTTTATTATTTCGCGAGGAAGTGAAAATAAATAGGATTTTTTTTTTACCCAACTGGAAGTAGACACTACCTCAAATGTCAAATGCTTGTTGACTGGCGTCTGTTATCAAACATTTTTGATGAAAATGTGTGAGAAGCTGTTGACAGGTTACCGCATGGGCAACTCGATTGGTTCATCCTAAAAAGTACCGGAGCTGAAGGGGGTTGGTGCGTCCATTGCCAGCCTGCAGCGCGTGAAGGCACTGCATGGCACACACGTCCTTGTGGACTGCAAATGCAACAGTGAGCAGCCTTATTAACCAATTATCTTAGAAATGGAACCCGAAATCCATTTATGTGATTTATTGGTAAAAAAAAAATGTGTTGAGATGCAAAAATAACCACATCAGCGAGGAGTTGGCGAACTCAGTTTTTTTTTCAAATTGACATCGTTCCTCGCGGTCGCCGTGATGGTAAAGCCACCGCGAGGCGTTCCCGGTGCCTGGCTTCTGTGTGTTGGAGAGCTGTGGGGGGGGGGGGCCCTGGCAGTCTGCAACCAAAGTCAAGAGTGTGTGACCATGGAAGACTTTGTAACAGTGCTGTAATACGTTGTGTTACACACGCTACTGCAGTAATTGTATTAGTTCCACATCGTCCGTTGCTCACGTGCCCACACTTCGTGGCCGCTTGCTCGTTTTCCCAATGATTTGTACACCTGGCCAGTGGCTGACCGTATCACACCCACACGTCATCGTCGCTCGCCCTTCGACTGCTCTCAATGACCGCCCTGGTTAAGAGGCCGTCGTGGCCAAAGCCATTGAAGCCATCCGAGATCGCCATCGCTTCCTTCCGCCAGATCACGCAGACTAGGTTGCCACCTGTCCCGGTTTTCCCAGGATCGCACAGCGTGTTTCAAGTCTTTCCGGGAAATTAAAAGTCCCTGGTTTTTGTCAGTTGCATAATAATACGCTCCTCATGACGACGCATTCACATGCACCTGTCACCTCTTCTGGTGTTGAGATTTTCTTTGCTAGAAATGTCCCGATTTGTAAGTACACTACTTAATAAGAGGGGGCAAGCCAACTCGCAGATGTTGCAAAGTTGACACTCTGCCCCTAAATTCCCCACTCGCAGCCTTTCCACCAGGGCCTAGGCCTTGATCAGCTCCAGGGCTGTCTCAGCAGGCTGCTGCCCCTTCTGTGTCCTTAACGTGTCCCACCGCCTCCCATCACAAACTCCTCTAATTATACCCACAATGATTAGCTTCCACTTGAAATAACCAACTTAGTGAAAAAATAATTTCGTAGATTGTTTGATGCATCTGGCCACTGGGCTGTAGCTTCATGCTAGTGCCTTGCGCCGTAGGCCTCGTTCATAGGCCAGGAATATTGTACATATGCTTGCCAGTGGCCGAGCGATTGCAAGCGTCAGCATCTGGGAGTGAGGTGTCCCGGAACTTTTTTTATTGCCCACAATTTTGGAGCCTGAAGATTTTACTGTGAAATGTTCTCCGTTTGAAACCAAATGATTAATTAACTATCTGGGGTTAAGCCCTCCATTTCCCATTCTGAACACGTTAAATTCCAACTCATCAACAAAGTGATAAAAAATGCAACACCAGCTACTTGGGCTTGCTTCATAACTATAGACTTTTTTCTCAAAATTTAAAGGGCTCGTAATCTGCCGAGGCTTTATAAACAGTATTTATTACTCATCCTAAATGCAGACCTGGATGTCTCCAAACAAACAATATTGAAATGGCTGTGTAATATAGTTCTGTACATGTTTTTGTTGTTAATTTGTAGTCTTAGTCTTGCAATACTGTAGTTGCTTTGCTTAGTCACATTCTGGCTTGAGAGCTCAGTACAATGTTAACATTGTCTATAAGCATGTTATTTGCACAAACTCTTGTAAAGACAACAGTGTAAAGTGTTTCTATTTTTGGCTGGCCGTGAACTTACAGTGTTTTGAATTAGTGTTTTTGAAATTAAACAGAACTTATAACCAGTTGTGGCTGATGTGAATTTCTAAAATTGCCTCCGTGTGGTCATGCACGTGGGCAGGGTTTGTTGCAGCTGAGTGGACCGAGATGGGTAGGCACTCACCTGCACATTGATCTGGATGGCGACCTCCTTACTGCAGCCGCTTGCAAAAGCCAACAACCTGCTTGCCATAGTGAACATCGAGGGGAGTTAGGCGAGTAGTTTGCTGAACTATCTTCCACATGCAAAATATTCAGGGTATGTTTTACAGATGACCTAAGGAGGTAAAAGCGAAAGGTGCAGCCCTGCAATTACTCCCTCATCACTGCTGGCAGAAGGGCCTCCTCTACAGAGAGCCCCTCTAGAGTGTACTTGGTCTACTCTTCCTCGCTGGCCATACGTCTTGGAAGAGCCCGAGTACCCACATTATTATTTCAACTGCCGCGCCAGGAGATCGAGTCGAACCGGTGATCTCTGATACAGTGAGAATCGGGTGTTCCCGTTGGGGGGGGCAGTCTTTTCATAGGATGGCCATTGTTGACTTGCCATCAAGTGCTCATTCAGCCCAGGCTGAATCAACCCTCGATTGTGAATTGAACTTTCAACCTTCCCGTCACCGATCCGGCCGCTCTCACCAAATCGCAATCCTATTTTGAGACAGCCAAGACCGGTTTGTCGTGAGTCAGCAACTCGGCGGGGTGGGTGAGTGGAAGGGTGGGTGGGTGGGTGTTCTGGGAGTGGCAAGAGCGAGGCATGAGTTTGCAACACTCCGGCAAGAGCCACCTCACCTGCAGGGTTTTTCCCCAAAACCATCCTGGGCCTCGAGAATGCGGCGATTGCTGCCGAGGCATTGCGCAAGAGCGGAGCGAGTTGTGACGCGGTGCTGTGTGACGCGTGGATGTGTGACGCGTGGCTGTGTGATGCGAGGCTGTGTGACGCGTGGCTGTGTGACGCGTGGCTCTGTGACGCGGGGCTGTGTGACGCGGGGCTGTGTGACGCGTGGATGTGTGACGCGTCGCTGTGTGACGCGTGGCTCTGTGACGCGGGGCTGTGTGACGCGTGGCTGTGTGACGCTTGGCTCTGACGCGTGGCTCTGTGACGCGGGGCTGTGTGACGCGTGGCTCTGTGACGCGTGGCTGTGTGACGCTTGGCTCTGACGCGTGGCTCTGTGACGCGGGGCTGTGACGCGTGGCTGTGTGACGCGTGGCTGTGTGACGCGTGGCTGTGTGACGCGGGGCTGTGTGACGCGAGGCTGTGTGACGCGTGGCTGTGTGACGCGTGGCTGTGTGACGCGTGGCTGTGACGCGTGGCTGTGTGACGCGTGGCTGTGTGACGCGTGGCTCTGTGACGCGTGGCTGTGACGCGTGGCTGTGTGACGCGGGGCTGTGTGACGCGGGGCTGTGTGACGCGTGGCTGTGTGACGCGTGGCTGTGACGCGTGGCTGTGTGACGCGGGGCTGTGTGACGCGGGGCTGTGAGACGCGTGGCTGTGTGACGCGTGGCTGTGTGACGCGTGGCTGTGTGACGCGTGGCTGTGTGACGCGTGGGCGCTTTCGAGCAGCCCAGCTCGCAACTCGTCCACGCAGGAGTCCGCCTCGCTTCTTGGTTTCAAGAGTTTCTTGCTCGACCGGTTCCGCGAGCGAGGAGGACACGCTGCCGCTGGCGTCACGCTGCCGCTGGCGACAGGCCGCCACGTGGGCGATGCAGGCGCTCTTGCCCGTGGAGTCATGCGGTGTCTTAACCCTGGGTGCGGTAAATATCAGGCACCACGTGCCATGCGATCGCGTGCCTGTGTGTCTGTGTGCCTGTGTGTCTGTGTGCCTGTCTGTATTTCTGTGTGTCTGTGTGCCTGTGTGTCTGTGTGTCTGTGTACCTGTGTGTCTGTGTGTCTGTGTGCCTGTGTGTCTGTGTGTGCGCAGAGAATGCGGGACTGTGCTCCGTTTGACTGGACACGCGTTTCAATCTGTTTCACACAGCTCGCTTGAACGTTCCTTAACAAGGCCACGCTGATTTTAGATGAGTTATACCTCGGTTCTGTGCCTCACGAAATTGCCCCTCAACCCGTTGGCTTTCCTCACAGCGAGAGAGAGAGATCTCTGGCCTCTCTCTGCGCTATGGAGGGTCATTGCCCGAAACGTCACCGATTACATGTCTTCCCTTTGAAGGCCCAAGTGTTATTGACAGGGACGTGTTGAGTTGTCGTTAATTGTGCATCACCACCATGCAATGTGCACAGGGAGTGGACTGGGAGCCATTGGAGAGCGATCAGAGATTTGCCTTTGCGATGCAGTCAAAGGCGAGCAGCCTGACTGCTCAGGCGTGGGGGAGACCCCTCATTTCATTTAGAGCCCAGAGCGTGCGGGGACAATCTGGACTACTAAATTTAAACGTGAATTAACGAAGCAATAATGACGCCCGTTAAATGTTACATTGCATAATAAAGGGCATCTACCTCTGTTGAGCAATGCATTACTACGATTTACCGTGCGCTATATTGGCGTGCCTGTGCTGCAGTGCAGTATTACCACATCGACTGTATTGGGCAAGTAGGATTGTTACAGCGTCTCCTGCAAAGTATGTACGGTGCGGAAGAAGTTCAACATACATGCAAGGCATCTTGAGATGTCATTGCACTTAAGCTGCTTCATACAACTTGTTTCGAGTTATTAATTTGGCGGAACTGTTCAATCAGTGGCCTCGAGCCACTTGCGGAAGTTCCACATTGCTGTGGGGGGGGGGTCGGCCTCCTCATCACGGGGTGACCGCTCGACTCTCGATGCAGCATCGGAATTCGCTTCACCGCCAATGTCCGACGTTTCGCTCCACGCACCGGGAGCGTCTTCAGTTTGAATGTCAGTTCCTGGAGAAGCTCCCAGCACGTTCCACGCTGAGCTGTAAGTCGAACGAGAGCCGGGGTTTTGCGAAAGGACGCTTATGAGGAGAGATAAATGAGCGGTAACGTATCAGTGACAATATCTATGAGTACACCTGTGGACAAATTGCAACCCTCAAACGTTTTAGGCGAACCACAAAATGCAGTAGTGTTTTGTGAAGAAATAAAATAATATCTGCAAGTTCCACAGAGCACTTCGTCATGTCATTGCGCAGGCCGGGCTTGGAGCCACTGCCCCAGGCCATCCCGTATCGGGGATGGAACTCACACGAGACAACAGATGGCAGCAGTAGTCACCTTGAGATGCCCTCTTGGGCGTGCGTGTCAGCAGTGTCTTGCAAGAAGCATCGGTTTACTGTGCAGTGCTGGTTTTCACACGGCAACGCAATTGTAGCCATGCCACGAGCAACAATGTACCCGTGTTTCCATGTCCAAGCAGATCTTGGTGTTACTGTATCCGTGGGGGATTATCTATATTGAACTTCTTTCGCACCGTACATGGCAAACCGTGCTAATCGAAGGTGCGGGCAAAGGACAACAAACTAACACACAAAAACACGTTCTAAATAAATTAGTTTTCAATCTAAATTATTTAAAAGTGCATAGTTCCAGTGGCTTCATAATATTAGAAGTGTAGTGACTGACTCGGAGACGCCAAGAGTTGGAGGCACGTCTTTTATTTAACCGGGCACCCTTTGCACAATACACACCCTACGCTGGTACACACTCTTCTGTCGCTCGCTTATACACAACTCTACATAAGTCGCTCGCCTATACAGAACACTACGTGTGCCGCTAGCCTATACACAACACTAAGTGTGCCGCTAGCCTATACACAACACTACGTGTGCCGCTAGCCTATACACAACGCTACGTTGGTTGCTAGCCTATACACAACGCTACGTTGGTTGCTAGCCTATACACAACGCCAGCCGTCTTAACACCAACGGCGCTGAACCGAGACAGCCAACTACCGTCTAGCAGCGCAATGTCGAGGACGACGGCGACGATGGCTGCGAGATGACAGCACGACGAGGTTCCCACTCCAAGCGACAGCCCCGAGCTCTCGCTCAGGGCCCCCTTTTATACTCCCAGGGGAGTGGCCTCGCTCCGCCCCGGCCACGCCCCCTCTCTAGAACCTACCAGCGGGTTCCCGGAATTCGCCCTCGTGCCCCTTCTGTAACCTTTCTCCCAGATATCCCCTCTGGTGGATCACCTGGCCTGCTGACGTCAGGGCTGCTGTAAGCCGCAGATCCCCTTCCCCGCCAGCAGCCAGCGCTATACCGAGACATTATTTATTCCATGTCACTACAGAAGGAAGAGCGTTCCAGACGACCGCTGAAACGCATCTGAAAGCGCGCGATGCGGTGACCGTCTTCGTTCGACGGCCAGCCAAGAGCCGCTGCTGTGAGGATCACGGGAGCTGGCGTGGTGATGGTTCACGCTCCTTGACCAGATCAGCGTGGTATTGTGGTTAATTTGTGGCACGCACTTGGTGTGGAATGAGTGCGATGCTGTGGGTACACGACACGGGCCATCGGCGAGCCCCTGGAGCCTGAGCGGACTGGCCGACCGGGCGGTCACCACTGACGTCAGGATCAGCGCCTCTCACGAGGAACGCGATTGGGCACCTCGTGGTGGCTGCCCTCGAGTAACAATCGGGGGTCTTCGCCACTTTCAATGTCACCTCAACGAGCACCTAGCCTGGCACGAGCGTCACGCTTGGCGACGTGCGGTGCGAAAGAAGTTCAACGTACGTGATGACATCGCAATCTGGCGGAGGTGACTTGTGGCGGCTGCGCGAACGTGGGGCATGGCGTGGGGTCGGAGAACCTCGCGCAACACCTCTGGCTGTACGCATCTCGTGTGGGACCTACCTAGGTCGACTTGGCCTGAAAACGGGCACCTGCTGCGTGTGACGTCACGGCCACGTGCACGAAGACGGGCAGGTGCGGCTGCCCGCTGCCCGTGGGCTGCCCCCTGCGTGCTGTTCGCGGCCTTGCGAGGTGCGAGCTCAAAGCTTGCGCCATTGTTTGCCCTTGGCCATCCATAAAGCGTCCGTCTCTACAGAATATAAACACGTGTGCGTGGTGTGTGCGTGGTGCGTGCGTGCGTGTGTCATCGCCCGTAATG